CAGAGGAAACAGAATCAGCAAGTTAACTACAACTAAAGGAACAATTTGAAAACAATTAAGAAAAGACCACTTTAATTCTTTATAATAACTCTAAACTGTTCAGAATTACAACTAAAACAATCAAGCTATGTTGGCAATTTTGTAACTCACCCCAGTAAAATTGTGATAAAGGTTTAAATTTTAGGTGTTATGTTTATTTTTAGATGTTTTTAGTTGTTTTATCAAATTCCTTGGCCTAAAATATGTAAGTTTTTCAGCTTTTCATTACACACAGAAAAGAAATAAGAGCCTAAACTGTTTTCTAAATTGGCAGAAATTTGTTGGTATAAGGCTAAGTTAAAATAGTTGTATCTTTGAAACTGGTCAGAATAAGATGATAAAGTTTTGGGGACTGATTTTGTCACTCAAAGATTTTAATAAGTTATGTTAAAAATCATCAAAATCTGAACATTAAAGTTGCATGCCCCAGATGTTTTTACATGCAATTGCCCTGTATAGAGTTCTGTTGTCATATTTAAGCTAATTCTACTAATGTACTTTCTCTTTTGGACAAAGCCGTTGTTACCTTTTACACATGTTAAGAAGTTTGCAACACACTAAAGTCAATGTTCATCAGCCATTAAACTTGCGGTTTAATCCCCAATACGTTGTGTATTCTGTTAAGCATGTCCAGCAATTATAATTTGAGGTGCAATGGTTGGCAACCATTGTTATGGTTTACACCTTTCACAAAATGGTGTAAACCAGAACAATGTCAATTCCAAAAATTATTATTAAAAAATTATTTAAAATTTTTGAAGAACAATATGTCTAATTAGTTTTAAATTAGAAAGTTTGATATCTTTATGCATGACTTACAACTTACCATCGTGCAAAAATTGTCAAGACAATCACGCTCCAAGAAAATATAATTAACATTCTTTACACTGTGGCTAAGCATTTCACTATTAAATCCCATCAAAAATTGTTGAGTCAATATGAAAACAAGAGTTTATAAACAGAACCCACCCTGGCTAGCAAATTGGAGAAAAGCCATATTGAAAGCATTGTGTCATAAAATAGCTTAAGAGTATTATGAGTTTCTTGTTTCGTCAATTCCTTCCCAGCAAATATGCTGTTCAAAATATTTAAGTAACTTATTTAAAGTACTAATACTTAGACTTTTTTTTACCTTTATTTTGTTTTTTGAATTTAAATATTTTCTAGCAATAAGTGCATACACTATCAGTCCTAGATTTAACTATAGGCCAAATAGGCCGCAGCCTAGGGCCCCTTAATTTTTTGGGGGCCCCAAAAAAGTAAAAAATATTTAAATATGCAAGGTAGAAAATAAAATTATGAAGTTAATTCTTTAGCGTGTATTTTAAAAACTAATTGTTATGCGGACATAGATGGAAACATACATAAGCGTTAAATGTTCTTAAACATCTAAAGCAAAGAAAATTTCCTTAGACTTCTTGAGCTGATTGCAAAATTTGATCCATTTCTATCAGAACACATTACACGTTACGGTCAAATTGGTTCAGGAAAAACTTTGATAAATTGGTTTTTTATTGGCAAAAATGTTCTGAAAGTGTGATTGATATAAAAGTTTCAAAATATTTTAGAATTTTAGTAGGTTCTATGCTTGACTAATCTTATTTTGATCAACTTTGTGTTGTTCGAAGATACCTGCATGAAAAATCTCACGAACCAATTTAATGGTTCTTACAGTTTATACAAATTGAAAGTCATACCGAATCAAACTTAGCTGAAGTTACAGTAAACTTCTTGAATGAAATTGGAATCAACTTTTCAGATTGTAGATCTCAGTCGTACGATAACTTCTAATATGTCAGGAAAACATAAAAGAATGCAAGCAAAAATTTTAGAAAAAATCAATCTTGCTAAATATTTTCCTTGCGCTGGACATTCTTTAAACTTGATTGGATCTTCTGGAGCTGATGTTGTGATAAGCCTAGAAACTATAAATTATTTTGGCTTCATTCAACAAATTAACAGCTAATTTTCATCGTCAACAAAAAAATGGAGTGTTCTTGAAAAAAAATAAGCCAGTATGGTCTAACCACTTTTGAGAACAAGATGGAATGCAAGATCAGATTCAATGAAAGTAATTAAGCTTTGTTTTGAAAGTATTTTGAGTTCCGTCATGGATATTTTGAGTTCCTTCATGGATATTTTGAGCTCCTTCATGCATGTTTTAAGCTCCTTCATGGATATTTTGGAAGATCAAAATTTTTATTTAAGTGCTAGAGTTGAATCACAGAATATTGTATCAAAAATTTACAAGACCCAAAAATAACATTAAATACATGTTATTTACTTCTGTCTTTGCTGGCTTATGTGAATCGTATGTAAATATTCTTCATCAGAAAGTTTTACTTTCTGATTAAGAATATTCACATAGAAAACATCAAACAAATAAAACAATCTTTAATGATCCAAACCATGAAAAATGTGTTATAATAAGTCCAAAAGAAAGGCTTTAGAAAGATGTTTTTATCAAAGTCGTTAATGCAATTTACTTAAATTTAAATAAAAGGATGGTTGTATATTAATAATCTTACACAACCTTTGGATTTTTGATTAATGTGAACATTGATAATTCGAAACAATCGATAATGTGAAGCTGAAGGAAAATATTGAAGAAACCGTTGAACAATATTATGAAGATATTGATGTCTTTGTTTGATTAAATTTTGTAATTTCATAACTTTATCAAAACTAAATATCAAGAAACAACTATGACTCATTTATTTACAAGCTGATAAAGAAAAAAAAATTTAGACATTGCATTTCCAACTCTTGAAACTGTTATGAGAATATTTTTATACTTTATTATAACTAAGGAGATATATTAGTATGGGGGGAGAATGAAGTTGAAAATTGTTTAAAATTGTAGTACAGTTTTTGTTGTATAATTATTCCAGCGGCAAGTTTTTGCAACTGCAGATAATGTAAGCATTTTAGCAATTACTAATTACTACTTTGAATATTTACGCGAATATAATATAATATTTATAAATCACGATTTTATAAAAATGGGACATAGTGATAAGACAGAATTATGTCTTCTTCTTGCTCCAGCCATTACTTATTTTGATATATATATATATATATATATATATATATATATATATATATATATATATATATATATATATATATATATATATATATATATATATATATATATATATATATATATATATATATATATATATGAAAATTGTATTTATTGTAGAAGGCAAAATATGTTTAAAAAACAAATGTCAAATTGGCGCCTTTGCATTAAAAAAGAAAAATTTTGAAATGTAATTTGTAACCTTTGTAAGGGATTGTCCATAAATTATGTAACGCAAACTTTCGCAATGAACAAAACAAAAAAGATCAAAAAAGATCTTCCCTTGCAGAGTCTTTTAATAAGTTTAAATAAAAAATCTAAATAATTAATTAAGTTTAATGAAAACCGCTGTGTAAAAGAACCTAATATCTCCTACTTTTGCTTTTTAAATATATTTTGCATTGCATAATTTATAGACAATCCTTAAGCTGTAATCAAAATCAATTACTCTTTTAAAAGTTGACTAGAAAAGTTTTTAATAACTGTTCCAACTATCAAGTAGTAATCACAACAAAAATCATGATTTACGTAATGTAATCATTTTTTGAATACCTCGATACTAAGTATAAATATCAATGTTTTAGACAATCTCTACTACTTGGTTGAACCTTATCTTTTGCTTCCCCATTTAGCTATAGTTTTGTTATGTTCTCAAAGACCATTTTTTCAGCAAGGAACTCATTATATCTCTCCAGGATTTTATTTTGTGTTGTAGTATTTTTGCTGGAATTAAAAACACATTACTATATTCTAAATATAGAGATATACTTACCTTTATATATTACCTTTTTGTAAATCCGGAAAAAATACTACTGACTCTTATCTAGGCATTTTTAAATTCAATTCTAATCTAGAAGTTTATTATTAGTCGTTCAAAGAGCACAACATAAAAAAATAACTATAAAAAACTAACTTTAAATATTGTTTACAACTTTTTTAAACCTCTATTTTTTATTTGTAAAGCTTCAATTAACTATGATGTTTTTAAAAAAATATCATTGGATAATTTTTGTTAAAAGTGGAATGTGATTGGTTTTAACTTCAAATTATGATAATTATGCAGTGTTTAATATAAAATTATGTTACTACAACGACTGTTCCTTGAGAAATGACGTGTTTTAACTTTGTTCTCCTCCCCCCCCTTCCTCCCCCAGCCTGTTAAACCTCTTTGTTACAACAAATTGTTCTGGTGAAAAAAGTTTTTCAAAACTTAAATTGATAAAAAGTTTTTTGAGATCAAATATGATCAAAAATATAACCAAGAAAGAATAGTTTTTTTTATTTTGCAATTTTATTTATCTTTATTTATTTATCAATTTTATTTTGCAATTTGGGTTTCACTTTTTGACACGGATTTTCTAATTGACAAGTTTTGTTAAGAAAAAAAAAGATAAAATTTCTATTAGTAAAAAATTTTTAAAATTGAGTCTTATGCTGAGTTGTTACTTATTTTCTAGTTTGTTTTGCATTAATAAAATCTACTTACATATATGTGTACAGTATTATATTGTCAGTATACTTACATATATGTCTCAGTATACTTATTTTGTTTTATATCTAGTAAAATAAAAAATTAACATACAAAAGTTCTATACTTTTTTGAAAAAGGGTCTCAAAAAGTGATTCGGTCTAGGGCCCCAGAGGGTGTAAATCCGGCTTTGTACCCCATACATACAGTACAAATGCTGTTTTTCACTATAGATATCGGGTGGTCAAAACCTTTTGACCATAATTGTATATATAAATAAATAGCTTTGTCTTTATTTCTTTCATAACATGATTACACATTTATAAAATGAAACCAATTTACATAATATTACACAATGATTATATTTCATAATGATTATGCCTATTATATAATTTTGTATATTTTTAGAATAAAGATGATAGAAAACACAGATCTTCTAAAGATAAAACAAGGTTGAAGAAAAAGTTGCATTTCTCTGGTGTTTATAATTTGTTTATAATTAATATAAAATATCAGTATTTATATTATAGATATTTACTACTCATTGATTATTATATTACATATATACATATTGCATTTTATTTGAAATTATGTAACAGATTTGTTATTTTTATTATTAATGAGGATGGCTTAATCTAAACAATCTATTTAACGAGAACTTTTTTCAATTAAGAGATTTTTTCAAGAAACTCTCTAATGAAATCCATGTTAATAAATAGTCTATTTTTTATAGATGGGTTGAAATACCATAGTTATAATTATATATTAAAACTTAGTAATATATAAAAGTATATTAAATATATATTTTAAAGCATTATACAATTAGGTAAATAACATTTGTAAAAATCCTAACAAATCTTTTTATTTTTTTGTTTTGTTTTAATGACTAAATTATTTAGAGATGGGTACAGCAGAGTCAGTTGACAGCAGAGTGTTCATTCTGATTGTAACTGATTGAGAGCAGAGTATACACTCTGATTTCAAATGATTGAGAGCAGAGTGTACATACTCAACTGATTGAGAGCAAAATGTTCATACATCAACTTATTAATAGCAAAGTGTACATACATCAACTGATTGAATCATCGGCATAATTTGATTCGTTAATTAAATACCAGTTTGATTAGTTAAATAAATTGTAAATTTACACATTGTAAATGTTGTTGGTCCTGCTCTAACTGCTGGTTTGTGCCTTTGTTCCATCAGTGTAAGTTTTCATCTCTTTCAATTTTATACAAATACATCATTGCTGTTCAAGCGAACTATCATCACTTGTTCCATCAACCAAAACTCAATGTTGCATGACTTGACATTCGGCTGATTCGCATCTATAAACTGTTACTATTCCTTCATGGTCAAAAAAATTTTATTAATCTAGTTATTTTGTCATGAATATTTTGTCAAAAGTTATATGTTTTTTTTCTTGACACATACAGCTTATAGTATTTTTAATTTCTTGTTAAATGCTTTCTTGCTTTTTAGTTTTCTTTTTTCTCTGACCTTATTGATTAGTTATTATGTTTTGCGAAATTATCAATTGTTATGTTTTCTGATTCTTTAATTCCCAACTTAATTTTTAGTTACTTGCAGCCTTATTAGGAGAATTTAAATATCAGCTTGATTAACATGTAACATGTGTTATCTCTTAAATGATTATTTCTTTTGAATTTTTTTCAGAGAAAAGTTGCGTTCTAAAGAAGAACTCTCAAAGGTTACATATTTTACTATTTTTTTTTTTTTTTTAATTATATATTCATATTGAAAGTTCGTGGTACATCTCATTTGTTTAAATAAATTTAACTCAATATAAAGATTTATTGTTTATAAAAAATATACATTTTGGATGTTGTTGCTTTTTTTTTTTTTTTTATCTTTGAAATAATAATTTTTATTATCTAGTAACTGTTTAGTATAATTAACTGTTTATGAATAAGAAATAGAAACTAGAACTAGAAAGAAATAGAACTGAGTTAGTGTTTGGCAAGTTTTATATATGATACAATATTTCTCAAGATTTTATTACTAATATATTTAATATAATCTCTTCAAAATAAATATTTAATAAAATTATTAAAATTAATATTTATTAGAAGTTGTTTGTTTGTAAAAGAGCACTTATTTTTTGATATCATTTATAAATAGCAATGGTAAAGTTGCAGGAATATATACTTTTGTTTATAATGCAATAAGGAAAATGTATTTTCAGTGTTTTTAGTTTTATTAGTGTTTAGAAAAATACTTAACATTTTGAAATATCATGCTATTTGAAATTAGCATTATATTATTGTGAACATAAAATAAGTTTTTTTTAAATACTATAAACGTTTTTGTAGACCCAGTCTGTTTTTTTATCAATTAGGCTCAGTCTGTTCTTATTTCAATTAAACCCAGTCTGTTCTTATTCCAATAAGATTTTATTTTAATGTGGCATTGTGGCATTTGGTGTCACTTAAACTAAAGTATTTTTTTATTGTACTAATATTTGGTATCCTAATATTTAGATAAAGAGTGGCAAAGATCAGTCATCAACTTCTTCAACATCTAAGCAAAAGTCAAACAGAGATCTGGAATCTAGTCAGTCAAGAAAAAATGATAGTAAAACTGAAAGTGAAAGAAGAAGCCATTCAAAACCTGATCATCGGACTAAAGATAGTGACCACAAATCTTTACAAAAAAGTCTTGTTGATGAGACAAGTCATAGAAAAAAACAAGATGAAAATAAAGATGCAAAGCATCGTAAACAAAAAAATGAAGCGAAAAGTCACAGGGACTCCACACAAAAGGAAATTAATCATGAAACTGTAAAAATGGAAGATCTCTCTCAAAGAAATTCAAAAAAGCATCACAAATCACGTGAAAGTACAATAGTACAATCTGATAACAAATCTAGTAGTGATGGTAATCACCATAGAAATAAAGACGACAAAAATTTAAACAAAAAAACAAAACACAAAGAAGAAGAAGAAACTCCAGTAGAGGTTTTATAATTATTATACTAAGTTAGTTTTTCAAACTTTTTTTGAATACATTGTAGCTAATGGAATTCTGTTAATGCCACTACACATAATATGTTTTTAAATATCAATAAGTATTTAGTATTCATATTAAATGAATGCATATTTGACATTTAACATTAAAAATCAATAATTAATCCCTTAAAGGAAAACAATGTTGATGATTACAATTATGATGATGATGAGTTTGATGAATATGATGATAACGATTTTGAAGAAGATGATAGTGATGATAAAGAAAAGAGTGAAGATGAAGAAAAAAGTGAAGATATTAATGAAACAATAAAAAACAATGGGAATAACTCAAAAATGTTGCTTAAATCTGTAAGTTTATTTTTAAATAATTTTTACACAAATGTTTCAAATAAGATTTGTACAAAGTATTGCCATGCATCTTTTGTGGGTCTCGCAATATTCATAGTGGTATTGTGCTCATTTATATTGGTACTGGGCTCGTATGTCTTTATGGGTATATACACGTATGTCTTTATGGGTATATTTATATAAGTTTATATAGACATATACATACATATATATATGTATGTATATGACTTTAGTATTGACATCATGTACAAGAGTATATTTTATATTAGTCAGAAAGCATCAATTAATACGAATTCTCTTAATACAATTAATAGTGTATTATTAGAAATTTTTGCTGGATTATGGTTATCAGCATCATCAGCTCGTAAAAATTATACCTAAATCAGCATCATCAGCTCATAAAAATTATAATTTTTATGTTTTCTGATAGCTTTTTAATTGATGTTTCTTATACTTATATTGATATCTTTTCGCCCTACGGCTTACTTGCTAACTGCTGTGGCTGAAAGGTATTATTGTGCACTAGATGTATCTAAAGTAGCTTTACATACATTTGTTGATAATCCAACTTTACACTCCTGTCTTGACAAAAAGTCATATAAAAGTTGCTTTAAATAGGCAGCTGATCTTGAATCTGATCTCACTTCTGTAACAGATTAGGGCTCACAGTGACTTGTAAGTTTTAGCTCCAAAAAAACTAATATTTACTGCAAACAATCGCAGTAAATAAATTAGTTTATCGCAATACTGTTGACATTCCTATATTTATGAATGGTATCCCTCTCACTGAATCCTTTTCTTCAGGTCTTCTAAGATTATTGTTTACTACAGAACTTTCATGGAAACCATATATGCAATTGATTGCTAAATTAGCATTCGCTAAATTGGCTTCACTTTATCATGCTCACCATTTTCTTACCCCTGGTTCCATCCTCATCCTCTACAAATCTCTTATCTGTCCCTGTATGGAATACTTTTGCCATATTTGGGCTGGTTCTTCTTTTTCTCTTTTATACAACGTTCAAAAATGCATCATAAACATTGCTGGACCTGAATTATCTGCTAAGCTTTAGCCTCTCTCCCGTTGTCATAAAGTCTTTCTCTTTTTTTGCAAATACTATTCTTTTTTTTCTTTACTGCAAATACTAAATCATGGTCAATGCTTAATAGAGCTATCATCTCTAACTCCATCAACCAAAACTTATTCTTGGTTGACTTGTCACTCATTAATTTTGCCTCCTTTATCTGCATGCTCTGAAATCTTTTATTAATCTATTTGTATATAAAAAAATTACTTATAAAAAAGGTCAAATTATTTTATTTACTGCATTTATTATTTTATTTTGTTTAAATTAAAATTTTCATTTTGAATTTATAGGATCAAAATGATATTGATGAGGTGAGAAATTTTAATTACTTGTATATACAATATATTGATAAACTATATGTTATGAAATAATTGAATGTGCTTTAAAAACTTTCTTTAAGATATCAAAAGCAATAATTGCAGAAAATGAGCGGACAAAAATAAAAAGCAAGGTTGTTAATTTTTTTATTATTGTTTTTTAGAGTGTATTTATTTATTTTATTAATTTTTTGATGTTAGTAAACTTGATAAAGTTCTAACCTTTAATTAGAAATAAAAATTGTTTCTAATAAGATATAAATTTGATTTTAAACTAAAAATAGGAATAATAAACTTAAAAATAGGAAAAATAAACATATAATATGCAATTACAGTTAAATACAGTTAAGACTATTTAACACAATTTTTTCTCCCTAGATTCAGTGTTATATTTTGCTTACATCTAAAAAAAAGTTTTGATTTAATGACTACTGCACCATCAAAGTTAGTTTTTGTTGAAATATAACAAGAAATATTTTACATTTTTGTTCATTCTGTCAAGAAACTAAGACAGTAAAAAGGCACTCTTAAAGATTCAGAAATAATAAAGTAGCCCCTAAATTTAATCAGAATGTTAGCCCCTATTTGATTTTAATCTATTTTAAAGCACATACATGTCTCAGCAACGCTTTGTGGAATCAATAATTCAAAAAACCAGTTGCTTGAATGATCCATCAGTTGTTGCCAAATTCACAGAATAGCAAGCTTCATGATTTTTTTTTCCCTTGTACAAATTGTATAACTAATATTATATTTTACAAGCAATATTTGCGTATAAAATGCAAGGATGGATAAGTATGGTTTGTAGGCTTCAAAAATTTTATAATTTTTTTCTTTTACAGATAAATCTTTCAATCTTTTTTTTATAAATTCACACAAAATCTGCTGGTTGTAAACAAAATGCATCTGCTGGTTGTAAACAAAATGCATCTGCTGGTTGTAAACAATCTTTGGATGATATTCAAATTAATTGTTCTTCAAATACAATTTGTTTTATTACACCAACAGCTGAAATGTTGGTTTAAGTCACTTGTGCTTTTACTTATGACTAGTTTAAATCATTCTAAAAAAGTTCTAGAATATTCTAGAAAGTTCTAAAACATTCTAGAAAAATTTAAGTATTTTTTTAATGTTCTTAAGGTCTTAAATGTTCTAGAATACTCTTGAAAGTTTTCGTAACTTCTGAACAATCTAGTATTTCAAAAATATTCTAGAAGCTCAATCAAATACTTTTTTGTTATGACTTTTAAGTTATGACCTTTAAATTTTCTCTTTAAAAATAAAATTTTCCTTTTATTTTATTCAACAGAAATTTAGGATTGTTTACAGAAATGCATCCATTTATACTTGTTCAATAGTTCAAATTTATTCTTTTCTAATCTTCAAAGAAAGTATTTCTAAAAATAACTTGTTTATCTTTTATCTCTTAACAATCTCATTTTATTTGAACCAAATTCAGAGTTAGAGGAGTGATTTCGAAACACAATCTCATTTTTTTAACCCATTCAGAGTTAGAGAGGTGATCTCTTAGCACAATCTTATTTTATATTAACACATTCAGGAGCAAATGTTTAAAAAGTTTTAAATACCTTGTTTTCTAACTTTCAAGTAGAAAGTTAACCACTCAAATTTTCATTATATATATTTTTTAGTGTTTAATTTAATTTTCCAAGAAAACTATAATAGATAAGAATAAAGGGGGTTGGTGAAAACAAGAAAAACGGTCTGTAAAAAGTTTGGTGAAAAATCTAAATAGTTTTTTTTTTTTTTAATTTAATCGACAACAGAAAAATCTGTGAAGCTGGGAAAGCAACCAATCCCTGCTATGGTAGATCCAGTATAGAGGATTACCAAACAAAAATAAAAAAGAAATATATTTATTGGCACATTGAGTTAATAACATTCCCAAACAAGAAACAGAAGTTTCTCGTTTGGGAATGTTATTAACTCAATGTGAGAAAATGTGAGAAATGAGAAATGTGAGAAAAAGAAATCATACAGTTTTTTTTTGAAGTGAGCCAAAAAAGCTGTCAAGCTTTTTTTTGAAAGTATTAATGTTGACAATATCTGGTACATTTCTAGTGAATGTAATGATATCTGGTGGTAGCGCATTCCAATCAACTGCCACACGGTTACATAAAAAAGTTTTGCGAGCTTTTTATGGAGTGATAAAAGAATTAGCATAGAATATTTGAAATTTGATAAAATAATTTTTCTGTTTTATAATAGGATGTAAAAAGAACTTATTTTTTATTATTGTATTTCATTACAAAGTTCAATATTTTAAAATGTTTAACTATTTTTGATCGAAAATATTATAGTTTATATCAAATAATTTACTAGGTTTTTGTACACTATTACACAGCTATACAGTATTGATATTATTAAAGCTATGTTAACTTCAGTGTAAACATTAAAGCTAATATCTAAACTGTTTTCACAGCATTTAAACTGCTGGTTTAAGTTCATATATCAGCATTCAGTTTTCTTACCATCATAGTAACAGCTTATAATTTATTTTTTTAAAATAATAAATATTAAATTTATTAAAATAGTTATATAAAATGGGGGATGTAAATAAAAGTTGTAAGTTGTAAAAATAAAAAAAAATAGTAAATAGAAAAAGAAGATTATTTCATTTAGATATCAGCTGTTAATGAAACAAGTCAAGTTCGACATGAAGGTTAATATTTTTGCTTTTGATTTCATTTTTGTAGGATTTTATTAAGTATGTTGTTAAAAAAAAACAATTACCAAGAGTGTGATGCGGTTACAATATTTACCAGAGGTAGCAAGGGTTTTAAAGTAATTTCAAAATTAATTTATCAAATTAAAACTTTATATTTCAATTAAAGTTATGTTATGTTTATATTATATTTATAAATAATGTTTTTTTTTATTATATTTAAAATCCTCCCTCTTCCACTTCAAGGTTTAGGGTTTGATGCAGTTGAACAATAAGTAAAATTAAAAACATGAATTTAATTAAGACATAAAATTGAAATAAAATTATAAAAATGAAGAGAAAAAGAAGAAAAAATAAATAAAATAAACAACAATAGTACTTAAATCCAAAGATTTTTTCTTTTTAAAGCTATATTATTAGAATTCCCATAAAAATACTAATTTGTTATAGTACCATCTATCTATCTAGTATGTTGGTCCATCCATGGTTTAGGAGCACTTCTTACCCACAATTAAATTGAGTATTAAAGTTTGTCTTCTAAATAAATCACTTCTTAACTTTTAGTTAGTTGATCAAAGAGTTGGTATTTTAATTTAGTTTATTAATAAATCTTTACTTTTTTTTTTATCAAACTTTTTAAAGTTAAAGTTAAAGTTTTTATTAATATTTTTTCTCTTGAACCAAGGTCCACTAACTAAAAAAAATAAACAAAAAAAAAATTAATAAAAAATAAGTTTAGTTGATTAAATTAAATTTTTTTACCAGACAATATCAACAGAAAGACCATTTGAGAATTCCATGCGGTTAATTAAGTAAATCTCTTTTTAAAAATTCACAATTAGGAATTTTTTTTTTTTAGCAATTAGTATATAATCTTAAATGTTTTAAAAAAGTAAAAATAAAATAAAAAAATAAATAGAACAAGCAATTTATAGATTTTAAAGTAAAAGGAAAAATTTGATTTAATAAAAGGTGCTTAACTATCATTATTTTTTTAATACCTTGCAGCGATCCAAAATTTTAGATATTAGTTTTATATGGGTTGACTGCAAACCTGGTTTTATATTTTAAAACATTAACATTTAAATTTTAAATTTTTTTAGAATTGATTTTTAAATATTTTGCACAATATAGGCAAATTAGTTTCTTAAATAATCATGTTGCTTAGCTGACTGCTGGGAAGGAAAAGTTTGTTTTTTCCATCAGTTATAGTTTTTTTTTTTATGCTTGTCAATTATTTACTTAAACTAATTGGCTATTTTAAAGTTTTATTATAATAAAAAAAAAAATGGCATCAAATAATATGGAATCATTACAGGAACCAGTTGCTTGCGCATCTAATGAAAATAAAAGAGATATGCATTGTGTAAACATAGAACTTTTAAGTTATTTCAAAATTTATATGAATTTGTATTTAAAATTTATTTGTGGTTTTCTTTTTTTATTACAGCCATTAAGATAAAAAATAGAAAAGTACTGAATTAAAGGAATTACATGAGTAGAAATCATGACGAAAAGAAAAACAAAGCTTAAGAAAATGCTAGCCTTTGAAAATAAAGGTGGAAAAAAGTTTTTTAAAAAAGTTTAGAAAGAATGAAAAACTGTGGCAAAAAGACGTGTTTTCATCTCTAGAATCAAATCACTCATCATTTGCAAATGTACAAGTTAAAGAAAAGTATATGAAAAAATTGGATTGCTCTGTTCCCAAAAGTCCTGTTCAGAAGAAGGAACTGTTGTGGTGTTTACTTATTGAAGCTCAACCATTAACTTACTTGACTTAAAAATCAACAAACAATCTTGGAGAGAAAGTTTTTCGTGGTTATTAAAAACTTTTATTGCGACAATGAAATAAGTTGAATTTCCCCCAGAATGGCAGATTTTGATAAAATATTTGATACTTCTGTAGTGATAGGACACAAAAAGGTGCGTTTTCAAATCTGACACGTGTTATATATGCTAAGAAGCTTTTGAAGAGTTTAAGCTAAATCATACAGATATTAAATTAGGTCTGTCAATATTTTGTCAGTTGAGATCAATTTATGTTCAATGTGCATCATCAATTCCTTATAACATATGTACTTGCATGTTATATGAAAATATGCGTTATGCTCTTGAATCATTTTCCCAGGGTTCACATGTATTTTCTACAATTAAAATGAGATGCTTTATGATTCTGAATTTTATTTCTGAAAAAGCAACAAAACAATGTTTTAATGTCGTTTGCAAGGAATGAATATAGTCTTTTTGATAAATTATTACTTTAGTTCAAACAATTTGAGTTAGACATTTTGAGGAATCAGTGGCAGAATAGTATATTAAAATAGAAAAGGTTAACAAAGAAGAACCATTTGCAGTTTTGTTATCACATATTAGTTTATTATTCTTATGTCAAAAGCAGTCAATTGTCTGTATTTAAATTAAATATAGAATCAGCAATTCAAAAAGACTCAAATAATTTTTCAAGTTGACTGGGCATAATTATACTTGTTTTTACCAAAACAAAACGCAAGCAGCTCATTTTGGTCAAAATCACATTTCTATTTTTACATGTTCAGTTTCACACCGTCTAATTTAATCTTGCACTAGCAAGATTAAATTAGATACTGATTTAATTCAATTAAATTAAATCTGATTCAAGCGATCATACAAAAGTGTTGATCATACAGAAGTGTTGACAGAAGTGTTGTTGGTGAGCAGCTTTTGTCAATAATTGCATGATAACAAAAGAATAAAAACTTATAAATTTACATTTAGTGTCTAAACATTTAGAAGTGACCAGGTATCTTAAAAATGACCTTTATAAACTGTAGAAACAATTTTTATAATTTCTAAATTAAAGCTATAAATATAGTATGAAATTTGTTTTATGTTTTTATCTAAATTATAATAAAAATTCGTATTCTACGTAGCTGATAGTTGCATAGCTGACTTCATGGTTAAAAAAAATAGTTTATTTTTGACCTGTAATTATTATTATATTTATAAAGTTTTATAAAAAAATAGTTTTCATGAAAATAAGTGATAATTTAAGAGAAAAATTAATTTAAAATTTAGATTAAAAATAAAAGTTTTTTTACACATTGCGAAGCTGACCACTGTCTTTTAGATCTACTTTTGTCAAACTTTCTTGTTATTATTATCATTTTTTTTTAATAACAATAAATGATATTTAGCATATGAAGGGAAAAAAAGAAGAAATTTATATTATGTAAAGTCAGTTATATTAAAAAAACTTGTTGCACACGTTGCGTAACTGACCAAAGAACTCTACATTTGTGAAAATACTTTTACACTAAATAGTTTTAACATTTATTTAAATTTTATTTTTTAGTTATAAAAGATCAATCACAAATTACAAAAGATACTAGTAAGATGAATTTTACTGCTGAAAATCAACCACAAATTACTAAGGTTACTGGTAAAATGAATTTTACAGCTGCAAATCAGAAACAAATTAGTAGTAAAAAGTCTGAAAAAACTAAACAAAGGGCAGAGGTAAGCAATTGTTAAAATATGCGAAATCTTCTATATTTTTATGTTTTTTTAAAACCTGATTTAAATTTCTATCTAGGTTTTATTAAAGCTTATTCAACTTGATGTCCGTGAATTTGATTTGTTTGAAATGGCTTCGTTGACAGAATATGAGCTTTACATGAAGAAGTTTGGTCAATCAGATGCAAAACAGGTGAGTTACTTTTTTTGTCAATTATCTTTATATATATGTTTATGTGTGTGTATATATATATATTCTTGCATGTCTCTTGCGTAGCATCAAAAAATGTTTCCCATAAACTGTAGTTTTAAAGAGCGCGTTAATAAACCAGACCAGAAAAAGTTTTAAAAATTAAATTTTTTTTTTTAATTGATAGACTGCCTGGCCAAACCAAACCCTCAGTCGATGTAGCAGCACTCTCTTGCGAGTCAGGCTATTTGTCAGTCGTTGTAGCAGCACTCCCTTGCGAGTCAGGCTATTTGTCAGTCGATGTAGCAGCATTCCCTTGCGAGTTAGGCTATTTGTCAGTCGATGTAGCAGCACTCCGTTGCGAGTCAGGCTATTTGTCAGTCGATGTAGCAGCACTCCATTGCAAGTCAGGCTATTTGTCAGTCGATGTAGCAGCACTCCGTTGCGAGTCAGGCTATAAGATAGTCGATGTAGCAACATTTACGCATGTTTTAAAAATGTTTTTTATTAAATCAATAACAAAAACACCACTAATTAAAAAAAACTTTCTAGTCGTTATAATTGCGGTTTTTTAAAAATTTTTTAAAAAACAATTAAATTTAATGTACTTCCGCATAAATTAATTGCTTTGACATTTCGATGACAATCAAAAACAGCTTAAGAGACGAGGTAATTAAAATTGTAGTCGTAAGAGACTTTTTTTACATTAAAATGCTCTTAAAGCTACACTATATGGGTATATATATATATATATATATATATATATATATATATATATATATATATATATATATATATATATATATATATATCTATATATATATATATATGTATATATATATATATATATATATATGTATATAAATATAAATATATATATATATATACATATATATATATATATATATATATATATATATATATATATATATATATATATATATATATATATATATATACATATATGTAAATATATGTATATATATATATCTTTATATATATTATTTTAAAATATCAAATACAATTTCTCTCAATACTAATAATTTTGTTATATTAGAAATTTTCACTCGGTTATGGATATCATAAGCTTGTAAAATATTACAATAATATTCAACCGTTATAGTTTATATAAAATTGTTACTATTGACATCAGCAGTTGAATGGCTTCTTTTGTTTTTAAATATAAAAAATGGCATCCAAAACATAGTTTTGCTAAAAAAACTTTTGTTTGTAAATATGCTAAAAAATGTAAATTTGCTAAAAAAACTTTTGTTTGTTTGTAAAAAAAGTTTTGCTAAAAAAAACATAGTGCCTCCCTAATTTTTCTTTTAAATTTTTTATTTTCTACCTTTAATTTTCTTGTTTTTTATAGTGGTTATATCAAGAAAGTTAAGGGTTTTTAATTTGATTTTCCGATTGTGTTATTTATAGTGGTTATATCAAGAAAGTTAAGGGTTTTTAATTTGATTTTCCGATTGTGTTATTTATAGTGGTTATATCAAGAAAGTTAAGGGTTTTTAATTTGATTTTCCAATTGTGTTATTTATAGTGGTTATATCAAGAAAGTTAAGGGTTTTTAATTTGATTTTCCGATTGTGTTATTTATAGTGGTTATATCAAGAAAGTTAAGGGTTTTTGACTTGTTTTCAACTTGAATGATATAATCCAGCTAAAAAAACTCTATTTGTAGAATACACTAGCTTAACTTACATATATACATATAAATATTTAAGCTTCTGTGATCCTTAAGTAATTTCAAACATGGTCAATTGTTTTAAGCAATTGATATGTGCTGACTTCCTTTAATGAATCCCTTGTATCATGCAAAAGCAATTATATTTTGTCGAAATGACAGTTTGATTTGATTTTTGTCAAAATTATTTTATTGGAAATTTAAATTGCTAATTAAAATTTTATATTTAAAAACAACAAAAATAGTTTTAATTTATCTTTTACCTTGTTTTTTTATTACTAGATATATACACAAACAAATGATGATGATGTTACACAAGAAGTTCAAACTGATGACATTGAATTTGAAACAAGATGGTGTCAACACTCTCATGATCTCAAAGCATGTGGAAGTAAGATTTTTTTATTAATTATTATTAATTTTTATTAACTTTTTGTTTATTATATATGCTAAAACTTTTTCAAATACTAATTTAAAGTAATGAGTAAATGGATTTTAATTTTAGTTGAAGGTGTGAAACAGCGTGATTCTGGATCTTCTATGATATCAACAGATTCTGTTCGTCTAAATAAGTTTCTTATTAAAGCTTCAAAGGTAACTTTTGATAATTATATTATAAAAATCTAATAATAAGGCAGTGGTTCCCAACCTTTTCTAACCCGTTCCCCAAATTAAATATCCTAAAATCTTCATGGACCCCTTTGATTTTAAAAATTATTACAAGGTGAACATTTTAATAATGTAACTTTTATTCATAAGGATAATATTTTATTTAAGGTATTTTTGAATAGACTAGACACAAAATCAATATTTATCAATGACACAAAAATTTTTTATCTTAGTTTATGTATGATACAAGAACAGATCAGTGTGAATTCTGACACTGCTTACTAGCAATTAATATCTGAAAATTTGGTTTAGTTTTTGATAGAGCACATCTAATATCTGCATCGATATCAAGTCTATTTCTTTTTTTTGTTTTAAGAGATAGCATTGCTGAAAACCCGGCTTCACACAAATATGATGTTGAAAAAGGAATAAGGGCTTTAAGTGCAATTGATGAACACAATGGATATGAATTCCTCATTTTCAACCAGAAGTTATTTAATGGTGCTACTTTGAAGTGATCCTTAGCCGTGGTATCATTCTTTAACTCTATAAACTCTTCTTGTGCTTCCTTTTTCACATTTTTCACATCACAAGAAAATGGTGATATAATAACTTCACTGCTCGAAAGATTCATATCTGGAAAATAGTTACCAAATTCAGTAATCAAATTATCTAGGTGACAAACTATTTCTGTCTTTATAACTTCAGGAAGCATGTTAACTCCAATTATGTTATTTAAATTTTGAAACATGATCAAGTTTCCATTATTAATTCTAGTCTTGTACAGTTTGAGCTTTTCAATAAATGCCTTCAGTTTATCTGAATGTGTAATAACATTAGCATTTTTGCCTTGAAGTTGCAAATTTAACTTGTTAAAATGACCTACGATGTCCACAAGATAAGCAGTTGTTATTTCAAAATTATCAAATTCAAAATATTCTACCAGTCCACTTTTCATTTGACATAAAAATTCTTTCACTTCATTTCTAAGCATGAAAAATCTTTCCAAAAAATTTCCAGCAGATAGCCATCGCACAGAAGTATAAAACAATAACTTATTGTGTTCAGCATTTAGGTCAGAGCAAAATTTTGTAAAAAGGCGAGTGTTAAGAGCAGAAGATTTTATATAATTGACCAACTTGACTAATTGATTAAATACAGTTTTCAAACTACCTGGTAAAGTTTTGGTTGCCAAAGCCTGTCTATGAATAAAACAGTGTACACCAACTACATTTGGAGCAATCTCTTTCACCCTAGTCTGTAATCCAGACTTACAACCCATCATGGCAGGAGCTCCATCAGTAGTAATTCCAAACAAATATTTCCATTGTAATTGATTGTCATTGAAAAACTGTTTTAAAATTTCCATAATATTAGCTGCTTTTGTTGTTGTTTCAAGGCAAGAAGAAAACAAAAATTCTTTAAATTTGTTATTGTGAATATACCTACAATATACAATTAGTTGTGCCATTGAACTTACATCTGTGGACTCATCCAAGTGAATAGAAAAATATGGGTATCTTTAATTTCATTAATAACATTTTCTTTAATGTTTGATGAAATATCCGTTAGCCTTCGTTTGACTGTAGTATTTGATAAAGATATATTATCTACCTTCTTTGCAGCTTCTTCTCCAAATAATAATCTAACGATTTCTTTTGTACATGGAAGTATAACTTCTTCAGCCAATGTGTGAGCTTTTTTGTTCTGTGCTATTATATATGAAACCTTATAGGATGCTTCTACTATATTCTGTTGAGTTTGGTAAATAATCCCAGTTTTATCTAATTTGCATCTCTTCAGTGATTCAAATTTTCTTTTGAAAAAATCAGTATCTTTTGTTTGGAGATCAGGATGGCACTTATTCAAGTGAATAGCAAGCTTTGAAGGTTTCATAGAGTCATTTCCTAGTACTTTATAACAAATAACACACTGTGGGTAGCTAGTGGTTTCTTTAAGCATGTAGGTAAATCCATATCTTATGTATTCAAATAAGTATGACCTTTTTTTACTTTTAGACATCTAAAGTATTTAAAAAATAATATAAAAAGCATCTATAGATAAGAGTAGTATAGTATCGAATTTTTATAGAAAATAACACAAATTACGTTCTTTCAAACAAATCAGTAAGGTTATCTTTACCATGAGATAAGATTTTAACATTTTAAATTTATGGATAAAAAATGATATTATATAGCATTTATTACTTCGTAGAGGTCCGCAAGTCCTCGTCGAATTAGTTAACGCAAATTTTGTGTAACAGCTTTCTTGCATAAATTACATTTTTAATTTAAAATTTAATTTGTTTCTTTCAACAGAAAAAAATAATCAAAATTAAGTTTCACTACCAAAAAATATTTAGAATTTACGTTTATCTTGTGGTCCGCTTAAAAAGTTCTTATGGACCCCCAGGGGTCCATGGACCACCGGTTGGGAACCACTGTAATAAGGTAATTATATTTTTATTATTATTGGCAAAATAACTTTAGTTTTATTCTACTTTAGTTGAGTTTTGCTGACCATTGTTTAATATCCAACATTCTAGTAGAATTTTCATTCAGGGTTTTAGCCTGACTATGGTTTAAGAATCTCAAATATAAAGATTTTCAGCTGTAAGCTCATGTCAACATTAAAGGTCACTTTGATATACTATCTTGAATTTTCTTAAGTAGTAAAAACAGTTTTTGCCCATGTCTCTTTTAGTTCAGTTTTTTAGAAATAGGATAACTTTATGTGGATGAAGTATGAATAAAGGATGATATGGGGATCTAGATAACAAATATGATAAAGCTATTATGGTTTTATTGCTACAACACTGAGTTAAACAATTAAAAAATATTTTAGTTGTATAACTCAAAATCTGCCAACGATTTTTCTTATCGTATCAAAATAATAGTGTAATATTTAGCTTTATAAAAAATAAATATTAATAAAATAATTGTCATTTATATATTTTTTTTATTTCTAATTTCATCAGTTATGATTTTGAAAAATCAGTTACGATTTTAAAAGGCAAAAGTGGTGTTTAAAAAAATAATATTTATATATGGTCTTGCTCTTCACCATATGTACACAAAGTAAAAGTTTGATATTTTCAAAAGACCAACTATAATAGTTGTTTTTTAATTATTTTTTGAAATATTGATTTTAATTCAAATTAACTTTTCAGGTTTGTTTATCTTTGTTAGAAGAATTGGAAGCTGGGATAGAGCTTCTTCAGCTACGATATACAGAGATGAGAACACCATATAGTGAAGGTTATGTGACTCTTTCTAGCTCTGACTTCTTGATACTAGGTAAGTTGTTTTTATTTATTTAAAATCCTTATATAATTTCTAATGTTTTATATATACTAAAGTAAAATTAAATCAAATTGATCAATAAACAATAAAAACTAAGAAATAACTTTTTAATGAATTAGTTTTTATAAATTTTTGTTCAATATAAAATTGACCATTGGCATATAAGATATGCAAACTATTGTTTTACATCAAAGGGACCACCAAATTCAATGGACCATTTTTTTATTTTTATTTAATGATGTTTTACAAATGTTCAATCATGAACAAAAAAAGAGTTCAAAAATGGCTGTATAAAAAAAAAAAACTGTATAAAACAAAATAGCTGTATAAAACAAATTATAGTTCGAATGTTATATGTAAAGTACTCATATTAAAATATCTCATTTATGTTTATATTATATTTATTCAAGTTATTGTTCAAACCAGATTTAAATACTGTTTATTACAAGTACATAATAACAGATTTTTTGAAATACTTAAATATTTCCTGTTTTTAAGTATACTTCAACAATAAAATTAACATGCTATAAATTTTTTTAAAAATTTTTCATGGTTTGAAAATAATAGTTTTATAGTGAGTAATTTTACCATTCAGAATTCTTCATTCATTTTGTTTCAACAAGATATACCTTTTTTTTCTCAGTCATGTTACCATTTTTTGCCTTATTATTATATATTTATATTATTTATTATACTGTTATTAAATTATATTATTTACTTAAATACAAAGAAAGGGTAATGTTATCTTTACTATTAAACAGTTAAGATTGTTTTTTTCGGTCTTGGTCCAAAAGATATGTCTTCTAGCTAGTGATTGAGCAGTTAAGTATGATTTTAAATTTCCAAAAACATGAAGTGAAACAATACATTGTGGAAAAAAATTAGTTAATTTGTTTTAAAAAAGAAATCAAACACAAAAACAAAAAATATACAGTCTTTTACAGGAAGATGTGCGATCGCACATCATTATATGACCAGGAAAATCACATGTTTTGACAATTTGACCGCGACTTTCAAAAAACATTTTAAAAACGCGCTGAATGAAAAATATTCTGAATTATAACTTTTAAGGTATAGTTCAGATTATTTTATAATAATATTAGATTTTATATATTTTAAATATAATAATATTACATTTTATAATAATATTAGAATATTATAATTCAGCAGTTTTTTTATTATTTAATAACATTTATTATAAAAAATGCATACTTAAACAATTTATATATAATAAATTTAAAAAGTTATATAAAACTGTCAATTATACTTTAAAGAAAATCATTATCAGTAAATTGTCACTTTATTTAAAAGCGTTTCGCAAATACTAAAATACTAAAAGTTTTGAAGTAATTTGTTTCAATTTTAAGCGAAATAAATTACTTTAAAACTTTATATTACACTATATACTTTGCTAAGAGGTTTTGAAGTAGTTTATTTCACTTTTAAGTGTGAAATATTACTTCAAAAACTGCTATTAAAATTTCGTATTAAAAAAAAGATTTTAGAAAGCCGTTACAGTTGAATAAGTTTGATCTTAAATTCTTTTAAATTATTAAAACGCTTTTTAATGAAGTAACAAAACACTTCCAATGAATTTTTATAATAAGAATTAGTATACTGTTGTTGTTTTTTTAATTATATAATTATGCATTTTTTTTGATTGTTAATCTTTTAAAACATATTTTAAAAAAAAGTACAAATGTTAAAACAAAGAAATTAATGGTTTTTTAATGCGTAAATTAAATACTAAGCATTTTAGTTTGATGAGTTTTGTTTAAGTTGGGTCATATATATATATATATATATATATATATATATATATATATATATATATATATATATATATATATATATATATATATATATATATATATATATATATATATATATATATATATATATATATATATATATATATATATATATATATATATATATATATATATATATATATATATATATATATATATATATATATATATATATATATATATATATATATAAATTTTTTGTGTGTATGTGTTGAAACTTTTTCTTCAACTTTTATTGCAAGTTTTAAAGTTCAAATGGATCTATAAACTCTATATTTTTTTAATGTATCTATAATTTTATCCACTATGCTGTAAAGTATTTAAAAACAAATGAAAAATTCTGTCAACTTTCTTTATAATTGTTTATAATTGTTCTGAAGCTGTAGACATCTATTGAGTTAATATGGATGTGAGCAAAAATAAAAAATACAGTAAATTTTTTAGATAACATTTTAAAAACAATCATAATGTGAAACATAAAGGGTTAAGCACTCATTTAAACTTTAAATGACACTTACTTAACTCTTGAACCCTTGAATGATGTTTGAAATCACTTAACCTTTTAATAACTTGCTTAACCCATGAAAGATGTTTACTTTAATAATGTGTTAAGTTCAAAAATTGGTAATAAACATCAGTTTGATTTAACATAATTAATATCATTTGTTTAAAATAATAGATTTGTAATAATGAGTACTTATAATTATTGGGCATGGCTTACAAAAAACAACAATAAGTTGCGCATCTCTTTTATGTCCTTGGATAGATAACTCATAATTATATTTAAAAAAATAGTAATTAAAAAAAAATGTATTAAAGAACATGAACACATTGTTGGCAAACATATTTAGTTCTTAGAAAACATGTTTACTTTTTGACAAACATGTTTAGTTGTTTGTAAACATATTTAGTTGCTCTTCAAATTTAATTTTTTTCTACATTTTTGTATTTTGTTTTAAAAAATTAAAATAAAAAATTTTAAATATTTTTTGTATTTAATAACCTTCCTTCTTTTGACTGTAGGTGAAATAAGTTGTTCTTTATGATTAGCAACAGTTGTTCTTTATTATTAGCAACATATTGTGCTGGAATCGTGAATTTCTTTTTTAAACTGCTATATTTCTCCTCTTCGTTAATAAGAATTTATTCTATACTAATTTAGTCAGCAACTTTTTGAACATTTAAACAATTTTTCAGAACATTAGTTCAACCTAAAACAGAGCAACTTTTAGAACATAAGATAATACAGGGAAACAAAAAATCTACTACTCTTATTCTTCTCACATCGTGTTCATAAATCTTCCTGTTAGAGCAACAGTTTTGAGTTGTTTTTTTAACTTTATATATTTTTTGAGTAAATATACAAATAATTATCCATTTGAATTTCAATTTTATTGTAGCAAATTTTAATTTCATTTTTTTTAATATTTTGATTCATATTCTAGCTTAATATAAAAAATTAATACTATGAAAATCAAAATTAACCATACTATAACTTATATTTTATTTAATTTTCATTGCAATTTCTTATACGACAGTTTTAAAATTACTTTTGCTTTTTTAATTTTTTTTTTCTCTTGAGCTTTTATGTGAGCAAAATAAAGTAATAAGTAAAGTTTCATTTAAATGTTTTTTTTCCTAACTTTTTATTTTTATTTTTACAATCAAAAAATGGTGGTTAAAAAGTTATGATTCACGAATTTTAAAAACTTCCTTGATATATTAAAACAAGATTTAGTTTTAACAAAGTTAAAAAACATTAGTTAAATAGTTATACATTAAACATTAGTTAAATAGTTTTAACAAAGTTTTAATTTAAACATTAGTTAAATAGTTATATATAATAGATAAATATAAATAAAAAAATAAAAAAAGTATTGTAAAAATGAAAATTTACTATGAATGCATCCTATTAGCTTTTTTTTATTTTTAAAACTTATAAAAGTCCATATTTGTTCAATAAAATTATCGTTTAACTGTAAACTATTTGTTTTAAACTGACTAATACATTGTTTGACATAAATACAAACACCTCCTCCATGAGTCTTTCTATCGCTTCTGAAAATATTATTACTAATTATGTTTACATATTATTCTGCTTTAAACCAAGTTTCTGTATCACAAATAACATCAGGTTTATATATTTCACTTTGTAATCTAAACTCATCAATCTTATTATTTAGTGGCATTGCATTTGTGTACTAAATCATCTTTGTATTTATATTCTTTGTATTTTTGAGTATCGTGCTCCTTGTTTATACTTAAATGACATTTCTTATGCTCATGAAAGTTTACTAATTCAATATCTAGCAGTCTCGTATCGCTCAGCAACTTATTAAGATTGTGAACTTCACCACTAAACTTATTAAGATTGTGAACTTCACCACTAAACTTATTGTTTTGCTAGTTTCATAGTTAAAGCATTGTATAATTTATGAGCAAATGAAAAAAGTAAAATATCTTTTTAGTATGGCAAGTTTAAATAAGAAATAACTTTTTTTGAAGAATTTGAAGCTTTGGTTGTCTAACAGTGGGATCTGTTTCTTTAGATCTGTTTCTTTAGAAGCAAAGTGTATTTATTAGATTTAAGAGATAAATTATAGAAAAAGTTAATTGCAAAAAGTTTTTTAAATTTTTAATTTTTGGAGAGATAATAGCGTCAGCTTAATGCACAAAACAATGAGTTTTAAATTTGCCTTTTTTTATGACATTTTCAATGTCATGTGGAAAATGACATTGTCATTGTCTTCATTGGTTTTCCAAAAGTCTCTAGAAACTTCTTAGATTTTTTAAAAGTCTCTAGAACCTTTGAATTAAAATATAGGATTAACTTTAGTATCAGGCAATGACTTTTTTCATTAGTTTCTTACAATGGTTCAAATGCATTTGTTCTCCAAAAATTTGAAAAAATTAAGGAAATGATTACAATTAAAAATAGCAGTTGCACAAAAAAGAGAAAACCTTGATTAAGGTTTCACATTAAATTAACAATAAAGAAAAACAGTTTTTATGTTAGCATGAAATCAGGAAATTATTAAGATAATACAATTTTCAGTGAGATGAAAAACATTAGACCTAGAACCTTCATAAGAAAAATCACTAAAAGAATCCAGTCAGCTTTAACTTAAAAATGTGATGATAAAACAAGCCTGACTTAGAATGAATACAAGGTTTATAGAGATCATTGCATGGTCGCAACTATCTAACTGAGAACAAGGAGAAACTGAACACAAGCTACAGTCAGAGACAAGACACAAATCAAAGAGTAGAAAACCAGTCGCAAGTTTACTATCTTAGTTTACTATCATAATATAATATTCTAATAATTCAAACCTAATTTTACAACAGTGTTTTGATATGTGATCATGTGACTTTTAGAGAAGTTAATTAAGATAATAGCTATCAAGTTCCAAAGATAAAAATAGTTGAATTTAAATAAGTTTTTTAAAGGACATGTAGGTCTGCTGAATTTTGCAAAAGTTATAGTTAATAAAAAATTTTTATCTATAAGTTATAGATAAAAAATTTTTGCAAAAGTTAAAAAAAAGATAAAAAAAGTTATAGATAAAAAAAGTTATAGATAAAAAAAGTTATAGATAAAAAAAGTTATAGATAAAAAAAAGTTATAGATAAAAAAAGTTATAGATAAAAAAAGTTATAGATAAAAAAAGTTATAGATAAAAAAAGTTATAGATAAAAAATAATAAATTTAGTTTTAAAGCTTGAATATTTATAAAATGGAAGCTGAAGCATTTTAGTGGGAATCATAGTTTTTTGTATTTAACATTTTTAGTTACTTTATGTTTTTAAATAATAGAGAACTTTATTCAATAATATATTTTGTATGGCACCCTAACCAATAGGCCTCATTTCTGTTTATCAACCCATAAGTAATAACAAAGGGCTTCTTATGTGACCTCGACATTCCACACAAAAGTTATATCAAAGGGCTTCTTATGTAACCTCAACAATTCTCACAAAAAGCACTTACAGAGCCACCTTTTATGCACAACAAAGCACTGTTAATACTTTAATATTCGAGCTGTTAATGGAATTAGTCTTTCTTAGAGATAATACAAAGCTCAGGAAACCTTACTACAAGCCAGCTTCAGAAACATTAAACTGATTTTATTCTGTACTCTTAATTATATAGCTATTACCAAGGAGACACAAGCAAAAACCCATGAGATGAGTACAAGATCCAACCTTTATCATCCTAAGCAAGAAATAATATAAAACAGTTTTATATCTAGGCCAGGCTATTGGATTAAGGTTTGTGAAGCTGTATTGAACATGTGACTTTATTGAACCCATATTAAACATGTGACTTTATTGAAGCTGTATTGAACATGTGACTTTATTGAAGCTGTATTGAACATGTGACTTCATCAGAATTATTGTTCTAATGGAATTAGAACAATTTAATTTTATGAAAATCAAAAAGAAAAAAACATTAAAAAAACTTTTTTCAATATTTTTTATTTTAATATTTTTTCAATATTTTTTATTTTAAGTTAATTCAGATTAAGAGATTTTTTTGTGTACTTTTTAAAAAATTGTTTTCAAAATTTTTTTGTTTTTTGTTTTATACTATTTTTTAAACAAACATAAAAATGTTTCCAAGTGAATATATTTCTTTTATAGGAAGAAACTTTTGTGATATTTCTTACTCGCCTACCCAAACAAATCTTATGCTAACTGCATATGGACCAAGTAATGTTGTGGTAAACATTTTTATATGTTCAATAATTTTTTAAATTACACTTATATTCAATCAGCATTTTTCAATAAAATTTAATAATACTTTTACATTAGAAAAAAGGACACAAGTCTCCAAAAGGTTTGCTTTGTGTTTGGAATTCCAATGAACCAAACAAAGCATTTATGTAAGTAGTTTTTATAATTTCAGTAATTTATGTAAGAAGTTTTAATTATTTCAGTAATTTCAGTAAATTAAATAAGTAATTTTGATAATTTTAATAATTTTAGAAATATATGAAGTAGTTTTATTAATAATTTTAGTAATTTTAAAGTTAAAATTTTAACATTTATAAATCACAATAAAATTAAACATCAAATATAATTAACTTAAAAAATGAATATAAATTAAAGTTAAAATTTTTTTGCAGGCTGTTGACATGTGAATCGAAACCTAATTCATGCTGTTTTAGCACAGAAAAGGCGCATTTAGCATTTGCTGGAATGGTATGAAATAACTTGTTATAAAATTCTATATGATAATATCTTAAGTAATACCATGTGTATTCTAGTAGAATTAAGTAAATGCATGCAGTACAGGTCCATCATTACACACATTTAGTTATATGTTATTTAAAAAAATAGTGATTGTGTTATTTTATAATTGACTCTTGTTTCATACATATTATTTATATTACAAAATTTATTTATATTATAAAAATAAAAATATTTAGTTCATACTGATAAAAGTTTTTAATTATAAAATAATTTATCGACAGTTTTAAGTTTGTTTGTTTTATTGTTATTTAAACTTTAGGAAGATGGTGTATTAGCTGTTTGGGATCTTCGGGAACCTGAGAGTTATCATAACACAGAATTAGTAGGAAATACTCCTCAAGTTTTTCGCAATGCCACATTTACAACAGGTATTGATGTCAATAAATCATCTATTTATTTTTATTAAAAGTTAAATGTATAGTTTGGATTTTGAGTAATTATATTTTAGATAATTATTATAGTTATTTTAAGTTATATTTTTCAAAAGTTATCACACTTCCATGTAGCCTTTAAATTTGAAGATTACTTTTAAATTCAATAAATTTGAACATTACTTTTAAATTCAATAAATTTGAACGTTACATTTAAATTCAATTAGTTTTTAATTTTTCACTTTCCACTAGTCAAAACTAGTGAAAAAAAAAGTCTTTTTTTTTAATTTTCAAAATACTTACAGTTTGAAGCTCCTTAACTGTAATTACAGATATAAATACAACTGAAGAGCTATAATTCTTTTAACATAAGATGTTGAATATGGTACTTCAAGGTTATGGTTATGGTTGTAAAAAAACAAATTAGGCATCAGTACAGGGTCATGCTGGCTATATAAAGCCTATGCAGGATTTTTTTTTCAAAAAGTTACTGATAAAAGTGAATGATAAAAAGGGTTAAAAAGTGAGTAATAAAGTTTCTTTTAGTGAGTTGCATAAAAAAGCATAACAATTTATCTTTTTAATGTTTAAAGTATTGTTTTTTAAAGATTTAAATGCCAAGATAATTTGTCCATATCTTAAATTAACCTTAGGAAATAAGTCCATATCTTAAATTAACCTTAGGAAATAAGTTAAGAGACAATTAAACTTATCAAAACAAATTGCTTATTGTAGCATTAATTTTATCATAAAAATTTGTTGTAAAAAAATTTTTTTTATATTTAATGCCATGTGGTTATTCGCTATGAAAATTTTTAACTTGTTGGTTCTTGCTTTTAAAAGAATCTGGTCTCATTAATGCCTTTGTATTTGGCATCAATACAAATGTTTTTGTAGTAGTTAAATTATTTTGAGTTTTAGTTTTTTTTCTTTTTTAATCTGTTAAGTACGAAAAACTCTTTTCTAAAGAACTTCAATTGAAACTTTATTTGAAAAATTGTGCATTAGATGGATTAGATGGAGGCAGCGAGGTTAGGGTTATTGCTCTTGACATATTTAAAACTTTTGACAAAGTTTGGCATGCTTTATTTTGGCATATTTTTATACGCTTGCTTCTTTTGGTGTACTTGGTAAAATTTTTGAGATTTTCAAATCATTTTTTTCTAACCGCTTTATTAAAGTCATCCTCAAAGACCAACACTCTTCTTCATTTGTAGTAACTTCTGGAGTACCTAAAGGTTCTATCCTTATCCTGTTTTGTTTCTTATTTATGATCTTCCTATCAACTTTACATCTAAAATGGCTCTATTTGCTGATGACTCAACTTTTTACTCCAGTCTTGACAAAAAGTCATATAAAAGCTGCTTAAAACAGGCAGCCGATCTTGAATCTGATCTTTCTTCTGTAACAGCTTGCGACTTGCAGTGGCTTGTGAATTTTAATTCTAATAAAACTCAGTTATTTACTGCAAACAACTATCTAATACTGTCAACATTCCTACATTGATGAATGGCAACCCTCTCACTGAGTTCTCTTCTTTATTTCTTCTTCGGTTATTGCTCACTACTGACCTCTTATGGAAAACTTATATACAATCCTTTTATATATGGTTACTAAAACTGCTATTGTTGCTTCTTTATATCGTGCTCAACTTTTTCTTGCTCCTGATTCCATTCTCTACCTCTACAAATCTCCTATGAAATATTCCTGTCATTTGGATTGGTTCTTTCTCTTCTAGAAACGTAGTAGGACCTCTATCTGCCAAGCTTGACCTCCCTTTGTCATAAAGTTTCATCTGTTTCTCTTTACTACAAATACTATGGTCGCTGCTCGCTTGACTTGTTATTCAGCAATGTCTCATTCTTTTACTGTATCTGACATGAAATCTACAAAATTTAATTTAATTAAATTTAGTTAATTTAAATTTAATTTAAATATTAAATTGAATCAGCATAGTCAATAAATTTCATATTTATTTTTTAAACTAATTATTCATAAATATATATATTGATAGGAAAAAAAAATCAAATTGATAAATAGGCAAGAAAAAATTCCAAGAATGTTATTTTGTTGAAAGTCTTTAGTGACTTCATAGTTTAATGTTTCATAAACTGATATTATTAAAACCACACAGTTCAGTATCTTAATAAAAATAATGAATTAATTTGTCATATTCTAAATCACAGGTTTCCAATCTTTTTAAACTTTTAAGCACATACTAAAATATTGGTAGGGTGGTGGGCACCACCAATTTTTATTAAGGACAGTACGAACATGGACTGCTTCATGGTTTTCTACGTGTACAAGGAGTAATGTGCAAATAGCATTTCTTGCTCCAGACTAGCATGAATAGTGCAGTCTCGTTTGCCCTAGTCAGGTTGCAAGTGTCTGTAAATTTTGTATGAAAAATGAATTGCAGTTTTGAATCTAAAAATATTTTTTAGTTTCCAAATATTCTGTTTCTTTTTTCGATTTTAAATTTTTATTATTTATTATAAGTTATTATGCTTATTTATTTTTTATTTTTCTTTGACAAATATTTATACAGGATAAATTACTTCAGAAATTATTACTTTTAGTGTAAGTCCTGTTTAAAATAAATTAAAAGTTAAAATCAATAAAAGTAAAAATTTTATAAAAAATCAGAGCAATAGAATTATTTTAAATTAAAATAATAAAGTTTAAATCTAAAAGTTTCCAAATCAAAGTATATGAAATTGTTTAGTAATTTCATTATTAGCATAATTGCTTATTATTTACTTTATTAAATTTTAGCAGCTTCAAGTGATGCTAATTGCTTTCCAATAGTGAAATGCATGCCACTTGTTTCTTATGCAAGGTAATATTAATTATTTGTTATACAATGTTTTTACTTCAATCATACATAAAGTTTTTAAATGAATCTTAATCGCAGGGAAACTGGTATAATGACCATCATTAGGGTTGATGACTTGTGAATTTTGGTTTTATTAAATTTAGTAACCATAAGTTTTAGAAATTTTTATGAATATTTTACATTATTAAAATTTTAAAATATGTTAGATGTTCATTTTTTAAACATTTTTTTTTTTTTTCCAAAAATTTATTTTTCAAGTTAACTGAAACTGTGTTAACAAAATACATTTAAAGCGGAATTTTTAAAGTTGTTGGAAAATTTTATATTTATCCTTCATTGAAATTTTATGATTAAACTACACATAACACTCATTCTTTATCAATAAAATTTAGGTAAATTAGGACAAAAAAATTTTTTTTTTTTTGCTCAAAAAATGGCAAAACATAAAAGTTGGTGTTGCTCAAATATTATCTTCTATTATTACCCTGATTCTAAATGATAAACATCAAATTATAAACTCCAAACTCAGGGTTCAAAATTAATTGATTCCAGGACTCTCGAAGTCTTAAAGTTTTTCTTATTTTTAATTTTTTTTCTTTTTATGAATTTTTGGAACTTTCTAAGTTTCTAGAGAACACAATGTTCTTTTTTTTGTCAGTTTTTTAAACAGTAGACATACATACAAGATTTTTGTGGCTGCTGGATATTTTTTTCTCATTATAAAAGATTTTTTTTAATTTTTTTTTACTTTTATTTTTTTTTTAATCTTTTATAAAAGTTAATACATAATACTTATTTCTTAGTTTAAAAGCTGCATCAAATGGAGAAGGTTTTTAGTTTTCCTCTCTTTTTTTATTGTCTAAATATTCTTAAGAGCTTCAGGAAAAGAAAGTTATTTTAATCACACTGTTTTGTTATTATACAATAGGAGGTGATATATCATTTCAGCTAGCATCGTTAGATGAAAATGGTTCTGTCTCAATATGGGTAAGTTTGTGGGCATGTATTAGAGTGGGTAAGATGAGTGTTTATCAGTTTTTGAGTACTAATAAACTTTTTTAAACTAATTAACCATGGAAACAATTAATTATAAATGTTTTTAAGCTATTTATATTGTATTTTACTATCATTATCATCATAATCATCATTAACAGCAGTATCATCATCATAATCATCAAAACTTGTAAACTTTATTCTTTTTTTTTTTGTTGCACCTGTTTTTACTTCTGCGTGCTTGTGTTTTTGCATTTATTGATTGTATGATTGTTTTCAAATTTGTGTTATTTATTGTGTGAACAACATTTTTAAATTCTGTTTTAGATAGTTGTTGAAGTTGAAAATAATATATATGATCTATCCAATATAAACGAAGACTTAGGTGAGATACATAAAATAGTTGTTAATGTTGAGAAAAATAATTTATTGAATATTAGTCCTAGTTATTACTATAGGTTCAGCATTGTTTTTTTGTAGACATTTTTAATTCAAGTTATTTTTACTTCAGGTTTTTTTAACCACTCTTCAAACCTGGATTTTTTTTTTTTTAATTTCCTTTTCTAAAATTGTGAAATGTATTGCAAACAAAGTGTATTAAAAACAAGTGACTCTGAATACGATTCACTACTTTATATTCATTACAAAATTAACAAATCTCAATTCAAAAACTTTTTGGAAAAAGATTTCATACATCATTTACCTGCAGGTAAATAATGAATGTTCCTTCAGGAGTTTGGAATTTTAATTTTGTTATTTGAACAGGGCCTCTAAAACTCATCATAAATGTGTTTTACCCATCAATATCAGTAGATTTTCGTCAGCATCAGTAGATTTTAAATTAAAGAACTATAAAGGGTTTACAAGTTAATCATATAAAGTTTAAAATAGTATCAGTAGATATTCAATTAAAGAGCTAGATAGGGTTTACAAGTTGATCATATTAACGTTTAAAATCTTGAAGTGAATCATCACAAACGTAAAACACTGTAATAACTTTAACTCAATCAGTTAAAGTTTACCTTAACTAGTCTCTAACATCAAACTCGTTAACATTGTTTGAATATCAAATACTTTTTTTTTATCTTTTTATTTTTTTGCTTGTTAAGGTGCTCCAAGAAGTTCTCACAGCCTTATAGAAGACCACAGAAAAACATTCAACTAAGAAGTTCATGCCTCCTTCCTTACATATGTTACTTATTGCGCTAGACCCGGCATCAAACCTCAGATCTTGTTTTTGAGCCATAACACCAACCACTGCACCACAGCTGCACCTGATAAGTAAAAGGTTATACTTGGTGTTCCATCAGAGCGAACATCTAAAGCAGCACATAAAAACTTAAACAAGACACAAAAAAGTTTTTTTGTCTGAGAAAAATATCCATCATGGTGAGAAATTAAAAGCCATAGTTGCAGAATAGAGTTCAACAAGATTGTAAAAAATATTTCAAAGATATGTTTATATTAAAAATAAAAGTATTGTTTTTAAAAATTTATCGTTTGAACATAAATCGGTGTAAACCAAACAGTTTCACAATTACATAGTCCTGAAATCTGCGGACAGGCTAAATAAAATTGAATTTTACTAATATTTCAGCACATACTTTACTAAATCCAGCATATTTTATACCAAATAAAAGATTTTTATGTTTACTATTATGTTTTGAACAAATATTGATTAATTAATTTTAATACATTAATTATTTAAATATCAATTATTTAAATAACGTACTTTTATTGATATAAATGATAATGATTTTTAATGAGTTCAAAAACTTGCAGCCATTCTGAAGTTTTTCCGAAATTATTTATTTATTGATATTGTAAACAAAGTTTTTAAGGAAATGATTAAAAAGTGTTATTTATAAGGGATTGAGGTCACAGAGTATAAGAAATGTATAACATCTCCAGTGAAATGGTTGATCGCAAGATTCAAATGGAAATTTATTTCCTAATACAGCACAGTTTTATGGAGCTGGAAAGACTGCTGATGGACAAATTATAAAGAGATATGAACTTACTTGATACACAAAGGTTTGAAAACAATCAGGAAAACCAATTAAAAATTATTCTATTTTGCATTGGTGCATCTGTCAATGGAGCTAGAACCTTGTAGGGATTGCGAATGAGTTTAAAAAAATTTATATTCCCTTTTTATCTCTTTTTTTTATCTTAAACAAAATCACTCAGAATTTTTTTTTTATTTTTGACAACATCATCTCTTATTGTTAAAAATACTTCATAATAGTTTTTGTTGCTATTACAACAACTATTGATCAGAGCTCTATATGCTTTGTATACATTATTGATAATTTTCTGGTGCTTATTAAATTTGATGATCTTCTTTTGTTTTTGGCTCTCTAAATAAAAATTCATAATCTTCCATAACAAGTATTTTCACAAAAAGTAAAACCTTATAGAAATAA